GGTTACAAGAAAACACCAGCCCTCTTGTTGGCTAAAGCTCTTTCTAGGAGAAGAAAGTCTAGAACATGAGAGTTGAGATGATGTACAGGGTGGCGCAGACGTGATCGACGCCTCGTGTACATGCAGTATACACACAGTACAAGGCAATGAAATGCTAGAGACGTGACCTTGCGGCGCCCGTAATCCCATTGAAAAAAAGACCTCAAATGGGTCCAGTGGTCGGACAACTTCCGATGCAAGGAGCGGAGCTCTGCAGGAGGTGGCGAGCAATGTGCTTCCCTTGGGAAGTAATCTTCAGGTGTTGACTGATGAGGTTTTGATACTATTGTACAGTAGAGTGCTGAGTACTGCTATGCATGCCATGCAAGTACCATAGTGCCATAGCAGCGACCCTTAGTGGCCTCAGCCCTGAATTGTTGTTGTGTACCTGGCAACACTGCCGGCCGTCGAATCTGACTGAGTGCTGGGGCTCGAGCTAACGATTTCTCAGGGAGCGCAGTTTATGATGGTGCCATGTATCTTGGGGTACGGGATGGGATACTTGGCAGAGGGAGAACTATCTTTCTGCTGAAAAAGAAGACTTTTCTCTAAGGACAAGAGACTTTCTCCGTCTGCCCAGAATGTCGAAATTCAAGGGCTGACCACGTATGGACGATCATTCATCATCGCTCAATGGAACGAGCCTTTTGCCTGCCCGGAGATTTGTGTCTGCCGCTGCGAACTGCTTACTAGCACACTTTTGTTCCCGCTCGAACTGGTTCCATACCATTGTGGCTTGCAATTCACATAGCGAGTCAAGGTGAGCGACTGCAGGGCAAAACTCACTCTGGCCACCCGAATGACCATAGTAATAGTAGGTATGTACAGTACAAGAATGGAACTAGTATGGGGAACGACGTCAAGCCGTCCCCGGATTCCTCTCTCCAGATTATCATGTCTCAATGTCTCAGGGGAAAACGAATCGAACCTCGCCAATCTCTTCTCGACGGCAACGAGCTCCGGGTGATTGATCAGCCAGCTTTTGCCAGCCCAAAAGCCAGAAGTGACTCCGGCTCCGAGGAGATGCTGTTTGATTATGGCAGGACTCGGCCGAGCGAGAGGAAAAAAGGGCGGCTACGATCTCGATTTTGATTGAGACAATGCGGCAGGACGGCCTTGCGTCCCTTGCTGCAACCATATTTTTTTTTATTCTTTTTTTGCTTTTGCTGTTCAGTAGAGGTGTATCCATTCCAGAACCACTGCTGAATACGGCAATCCGGGGCGGCACACACAATTCAACCGTGGTCCCCCCGGCCCCATGTCCCGTAATGGAACACGGGCGGGGCCGGTGCGGGCGTGTCGTTGCCGGACTGCTTCTGCTGGCAGGCAAGAAAAAAAAAAAACAAAAAAGAAATACACCATTTGCCATGCTTTGCCTTCATGTCATGGCAGTAGATTATTGTCGTTCTGCAACCCTGAATGGGATGGGATAGTAACATCGTGCATGCACATGGACAAACACATGTATGTCTTTTGTTCCTGCAGGTTCAAGCTGAAGAGTATCTTCTAGAGGCAGAAGTAACATTGGATGCCCTGGTCGGCGACCTGGGCTCTATAATCGGGTCTTTTCTTTTTTCATTTTCAATTCTCTGCGTCTAAAAATGATTGTTTATCTTATTGATTTCCTTTGGATGTCAACATCCGTATCGTTTCCCCTCTTCTACGTTCAGAAGAGCCCGTGGCGGGAGCATGAAACTGTTTGCGCGCACTCGGTAGAATCGAGGCTAGCTGACCATGGACCGTTCGCGCAACACTCAGTGTATATTTACATTCCCTCTGTGGCTGGCCCTTGCCGCGTGCAAAGTTTTAAGCGAATGCAATACAGCAACGTAACAGGAAACCGTTACCGTAGCTGTGGTCCCCTCTTCAATCTCTCCCTCTCTCGGTTCCGTCGTATTGGTACCTGCAGGAACTCACAGTGGGATGAATTTAAACGTTTTCTTGGGTCACTGTGCTGCCCCAAACAAGAAAGAGGAAGTAAAGAGGCTGGCTAGGTAATTGGGAATGCAGGGGAAAGCCTCATGCTGGAACCGTCGTATTGTGGGCGCTCGCGAGGGAGTGGCACGCGAACGACATGGGTACATCGTGTTGACATGCGGCTCATGAATACCTTGACAATAACAGGAACACTGAGAGACTTCTTGGCTTATTCTTGTTCGTCTTGTGTTCTTTCCAATTTTTTCTTCTCCATGCTGGGGCAATAATTCCCCAGCTGGACAAGCAATAAGCAGTTGCTTCTCCCTTGATGTCATCGCTTATGAACCCCTCCCTCCTCCAAAAATTTTGTGGTCAGTCAGGCGGCCGCAAATTACTTCTGTGAACCGGTTTGCGAGGGAGAAAATACGTAAAAAGGCATGTTAGTTTGGCTTTTGTTGGTAAAGCCAAAACCTAGGCTGTCAGATCCGGCCCGCGACGATATTCTTCCCCGGTCCAATCCCAAGATGCTTTTGAAGTCAGGGCTATCACAGCGGATCGACCTCCCGTAGCCCCAAGGGTGGACGAAACTAGATCACATCTCTCGTCTAGGGGAACTTTATAAAGTGAGGGGGGAGAGTTTGTACTAACAAAGTTAGCAAGTGAGACGGTGAGAGAAGGGCAGGCAGCAGATGCAGGGGGGGGGGATGCGAGCAAAGGGCGCATGGCATGGTATTCTGTGCGATGACGAATCTGACAACCGACCCGACTGTCCTCTTTTTGCTTTTCTCTCTCCTGGATGTCCCATCGACTATAGACAATGGCTTCTACATTCCTCGATAGCTGCGAGCATTAAAGGCGATATCCGGTCGGCAAACCTCAGGGGGCGCAGCAGCCAGGGTTTCTCTTCTTTCCTTTGAAGGAGCACGAGCCAGATACTTTACTTGTACCGCAGTGCTGCTGCTTTAGGTCCCACCACATGCATCAGCACGTTCGTTCTCAAGTGCCGGCATTGCCATCCGGGTCCTTGTCAGCCAGGGAGGGGGCTGAAGAGCTGTTGATCGTGCGCGCCCACTTTTTGTCATGAAGGCACAGTTTGAAAAATGAAATATGGCCCCGTACAGGTCCCAGAGAAAGGATCATGACACAAAAAGCCAGAGCACACCGAGTCACAAAAAGACCTTCAAATGTGCGGTGGCAGTAGACACCGATTCCGCCAAACAAGGGGTGGCCTGCAGATGTAACACACGCGCCACCACCACAGAAATCAAAGTCGCCTGTGGTTGGCGCCCCCCCACAAATCGACTTGCCCAACACAACCCCCCCGGTCCTGCCCTGCGAGATGCGTTGGTGGGTGTCCTCGTGGCCCTGGCCGGGATGTCGACTGAGCTGAGTCGCCAATGTCTCCTTTTAGGAATTGTATGTTGCAGGTCTTCATCTTGTTATGTTCTCGCCTTGCGACTTGTGAGGGTTCGCAAGGTCCTTACAGTAATTGTCGTGGGTTTTTTCATTTGTGTGCTTGCTTTGCTCCTTTGTCTCGCCTCGACGACGATTTCAGAGAGGGGCAGCTCGGCAAAAGCCTAACGGAGATCACCAGAGGAGCAATACGGTTCCCGAGCCCAAAAGAAAGTTACTCCCATCCCCACCAGAGATGACAATGCAAACTGCTCGCTCTGCTGCCGACACCGCCCTCCCCCTCCTCCTTCAACAAGAGCAACAACAACCTACTGGCTATCTTTCTCTGAGTATACAAAGCCGAGAGAGAACACCGGCAGGACGTCCCGGTTTAGAGAATAGTCGACAAAACGGCCCCTGTCTGCACCCTTTCGGTATACTTGCTACCAAGCGCGTGTGTGTGTGTGTGTATGCGTGTGTGTGTGAGTGTGTGTGCTCTTTTGTGCCACCATTACCAAAGTGTGTGATTCCTTCTTCTCATTTCTAGAACCCTCCTAACAGGCGAGGGAGGGGGGAAAGAGGAGGAGGAAGGGGGTGTGTGCATGTGTGCATGTGTGCAGCGCAGCCTCGCGGGGTTCCATGCAGTGCTGCTAGTGCACGTCAAGGCTGGGCCCTCCCGATCGGCTGGACCGCGCGGCTGGGGACGCCCTGGGGGAGCCCTGCTGCTGCTTTATGTGTGTGTGTGTGTGTGTGTGTGTTTTGTGTGTGTTGTGTGGTGTCAGTCCGTTTTGCCAAAGGACCCTGAGACCCACTCTGTCCTGCTCCCCTTTCCATTCCTTTTCCTTCTTCTTCTTCCTGCCACCCCCCCTCCCCTTCCTCCCCCCCGGACTTACTTCGGATGGATTCGTGAGTGAGGTTTATGTGGAGGTCATTTCCCACCAGTTAGAGTTTCTCCAGCGCTTCCTTGGCCCCCCTGCTGTGACCTGCGTGACAAGAACAGCCTTGCGACGCTTTGGAAGGATTCATTCATCCTGCGGCTACGTACCATATACTATCATTCTTGAGACTTTTACATGGTAAACGTGATTAAAAGTAGTTAAAGGGAGGAGCAGGAGCAGGAGGAGGGGGTTTGGTATAGGGATGAGCCCTGGAGAATTTCCACGTGGTTCATCCACACGACGAGGTTGAAGGGCTGGCTGCATACAAGGATGAAGGAAGGAATGAATACCATAGTAAATGAAATACTGCCCTGCGAGAGTGAAGTTGGAAAGCGACCTTTGTATGGTAATGGCCATGGCTGTGTATGGAGAAACCCAGCTGCTGGTTAGTCATAAGGCACAATATATCCAAAGAAGATAACAATCATATGATAACCCACAGAAAGAACAGAAAAGCATAATCCTTGCTTACCAGAATAGATATACTTCAGCCTACGAAACCCGGTGACCTGGTTCTAGATGTATCCTTTTTTTTTTTTTTTTTTTTTTGAATATCGAATATTGCTTCCGCATCAAGTACCCCTCCCACCCTCCCCCTAATACCATGCCATATGTCTTCTCTCACCGGTGCGGGTCTGGTGTCGGCCTTTTTTTTCTCGACGCCGTTGGTCTGTATTTCGTCTGAACCTTGCCCTTGGCTATCGGTCCTCGCTATCAGCGAGTGTCGGTCAAGGAAATTGGAAGGGCGTCTTTCTCTCTCTCTCTCTCATCCTCTCTCCCTCTTGCTTCTTCTGGGGGAGGCGGTGCTGCAGCCTTGCGGGTGGGGGTTCCAGGATCAGAAGACGAGACAGCGTGCAACCAGGGGGCCGCAACATCTCGCACACATATTTGCAATTCAGTGTACACCGTGTAGGATCTGTCGCGTGGGAGCTGACAGGCTAGTATCGTATTGTACTTTAGCGGTAGTCGTTTCTCGCTCTCGTCTCTCGCTTCTCGAGACCCGGTCTGCGGGGCCATTCCGGAAGCCGAGCATCGATGTCTCCTCGCGACAATTCCTCAAATGGGAAACCATGCACTCCTTCACACACACACACACACACACACAACCCCTCCTCCCTTTTGAACAAAATCAATTAATCATATACAACATACACAGACAGATAGATATGTCATTCTTTTGTGGCTTGGGAGGGAAGCGTGGGGGGTGCTTGTTGACATTCCCCGGCTGCAACTTCACTGGGGGCGTGTGCGTGCTGCAAATATAAGCACTGGCCTGCCCGCCCCGCGCGTCCACACCCTGCCATGCGTTCCCGTTCAAGGGCTCCCCTCCCCCCCCCCTTGTCGTGCCATGTGATAGACACGCCATATCTAATTTGTGCTTGTGATTTAAAAAGGAAGCCAACCGCCTGCCGGTTACGGAAGCAGTCTCCAGCTAGATTTAATCATGTTTGAGAACAAATGAACAAAAAGAAGAAGTCCAGTGGAGATTGTTATGGATCGGCTATACATCAAGCAAGTACATAGAATTGTTGTTGACATCCCACCACCCCTTGTAGGTTGAGGATTCCGAGCCCTCTGGCGTGAACGGGCCAGGGTTGGTCTATGCGTTCTGAGTCCGAGAGAAGTTGATCGGAATGTCGGAATAGTCTCGGAAATCAGGTGAGGCGGTGGGCAAGTAGACAAGTGATGTGATGTGATGATGTACACAACCACTTTCTGTTGGTTTGGGTGGAAGGAGGGGGGGATCAATTGTAAAATATCAGATATCACTACCAGGCCAAGAGATGCAATTCCCTCTCAAACCCCTTCTTCTTCACCGGCAGCAGTCATACACAGGGGTGCAAGGGTGGTTTGCCAGGAGGATGGATGAGGAGAAGGAGGAGGAGGAGGAGGAAGAGGAGGAGGAGGAGGGGGGGGGTGCCGTACCATTCCATTCCATCCCATCCAAAAAACCATGCATCCAAACACACGTTACGACCTCGGCTTCAGCTGGTACAGCATGAGGGGGGGGGGGGGTTAGAGCCAGATGTGCGCTCTGGGGCCGACGTCATTGGCCAGCGCAGAGAGTCTCAGTCTGCCCACGCGGTCGGATTCGACGTTACATTCGCGTTCAGCCCAATGGCTTTTGATCTTTGGGGGTGGTGACCACCCTGGTTCCCTCTTCCCCCCTCGTCCTTTCCAGGCTGCGCAAGGTTAAAGATGCTTTAAATAGTAAGATACTGATATTACAGTCCCAAGGGGTCATGCAACGCTGTTTGTTTGCTGCTGTCCCCAACATCTTGGATTAAGATTCTGCGACTGCGAGAGATGAACCTCTCTGTAAGAGCGTGAATCATGTTTTGGGAGTAAAAGTAAGGCAGGTTCAGCACCCCTAGATCATCAGTCAGAGAGGCCTGCTGATCCTCTCGAAAAGTAAGTAGATCAAAGCCAGTACTGTGCAAATACATTACACATACACACCGAGTCCAGGACAAATTTGGACAGGATCAGAGCACGTCATGCCATCGATTCCGGGAGGAAGATGAAGCAATACCGCCTCAAGTAAGAAAAAAGGTTAAGAATGGATGTGTTTATGTGTTGGGGGGGGGGCGGCGGCGGATGTCAAATGGCCCCCCTCGTTGGGCGATCTTATTTTCGGCGTACCTCGGCCGACGCCAAATTGGTCCACAAGGTATTTGTGTTGACAGCGCTTGATAGCTTCGAGAAAAGCTTCTCCGCAGATTCTGGCATTGATAACAAGCGCGAGAGGAGGGGGAGGGGAGGCCCCTGGCAGACCGGTGACCGGCATGGGGTTGCACAAGCGCGGTGAGGAGCCAGACCACAGTAACCAACTGTGTGTGTACGTAGTCAGTAGTCATGCCTCTCTCCTCTCTTTCCTATTTGCTTCCCCCCTCCCTCCCTTCCTCTTCTTGGTGCTATGGTACACCACAGGAAACGCGAGCCAAACTATTGCAACCCCTCTAGGGCAGTAGTGGTAGTGATCGTAGTGGACTCTTGCCCCTTTCCTTGCGCGCGCGCAGTCCTTATTTGGGGGTATCGTGGGCGTTTCAGTGGGACGAGTTGAGCCAGAGAATTGCACAGAAAGCGCAGACGGCAGGGGGATTTGAAAACGGAGTCTCTACCTGTTCTGGAAGATCGAGAACCCCGGGTCATGCTATCTCTTCGGCCCCGACTGTCTCTCTCTCTCTCCTTCTCTCTCTCTCTTAAACCCTGGCCAGAAAACCTCACAAGCTTTCTGGTTAGGCAGGGAAGGAGATCCTGACCGAGTATTGCCATCTGATGGCTCACACACGCACCAGTGGCCCGCGCCGTGCGCATCGCATCCCGCCGTGGACGGGGGGTTTGGTGCTTGTTGTTATAGCAGCAGGGAAAAAGGGCAGTGCGGGTGGGCGGCCGTAGTAAGACGCAATAAGTGATTTGCAGGGAAAAGATTCCTACTACCAGGGGCCTCCCCTTAGTGGTCCCCCTCAGAGCATCGGCAGGGAGCTCTCCCGCGAGTTCCCCGGCCGAGAGGGGGTCACGGCGCGGGTGATTGATCTCCATGTGCACGCGCTGTCTGTGTGATATCTTTGCTTTTGTTCACATCACTTCAGACAGGTTCCTAATTGGATGAATCAAAGCGACCAAGAAAAAAATAAAGAAAGAGAGAGAGAAAAAAAAAAAAGGGACGGTGAACAGGACATTAAACCTTGACCAGAACTTTGGTGCCTCAAAATGAAAGGGGACACAAAACAGGTGACTTGTCGTGCCCGCAAGTCCTCGTCGCCTCTTAATGGGCTGAATGGTCTGGTGCGCTGGGCACACAGAAGCTGGGCAGTCCTGTGGAAAGCGCATACAGATGGGGAGGGGCTGCAAACGGTGAACACGAGGCCTGTTTTCCGACGCATTGCAATCTCTTGTGACGATGGCACAGGAATCTGATCTCCGAATGCTTGGCGAGGCAAACCGACAACAGCGCAGCGCCCGACACGCAGGGGGCGGAGGGGGGGGACTGAGGGGACTGTGCAGCGTTTCAAATAAGCCTGGTTCAGAGCACAAGAGTAGGTCGCAGAGGCTGGGTCGCTGCCTTTGGTTGGCGCCTGTCTGTGTCCTCATGCTTAGGGTCGTTTTTTTGGGGGGGCCCTCTTTGCAGCCTCTCTTCTCCCTGTGCGGTGTGGTGGTCCAGAACCTCTCCACTGATAGGCAAAACAGGGCGATCGCCGGAGGTACAGTTGAGTTTCGGGCAGGTTCTGGGGTTTTGGAGGTTCCCTTGCCTTTTTCTCCATCATTCCCCTCCGCACGAGTCCTCTGCTAGCTACGGCCCTACAGGATTTCTGGCAGATGACCTCGCGCTTCCCACCCACATGGCCTGTTCTTGTAGTGGACAACACAATACTGGCCACAAAAAAGTTTAAAAAAGAGAGAGAAGGAGAAGAAGAAGAAGAAAACAAACGCCACCACTGTTACGTGGTCGAGACATGCCGGCCAACGAAATTAGCTGCCAGCTGCCGAGCAGAAGCATTCCTCTCATCAGAAAAGGGTGGTGGGTGAGCACATGTCTGCCTGGGCGCTCAGGGCTTCTACCATAGTAGGTCTCGTGTTCGAGCCCTGCTGGTACCCCCCCGAACAGCTGGCAAGAGGAGAGTGGGCGGCGGGTTGCATGAGATCGCCCCGACGTAACCCTTTGGACAACAAAGGAACCTGTGCGATAGCAGGGCTCTGATATGGGAAAGTGATCAGTCGCAAATCAATCGATTCGATCCATCTTCTGGACAGGCCACCCCCATCCCGCGGGAAACGGATCCATGGGCCTCGTCTCTGTCCTCTCTGTGTCTCTGTGTCTCTGTGTGTTGTAGCTTGGCACGATTGCTGCTGGGTTTGGCCTGGCTGGTATTCATCACCGCCGCCCATCGTCAGCTGGACGTGCTTTTGGGGCGGCCCAATTCTAGGCCAGCCACCCACTCCTGTGGGGGAATACTGAAAAAAAAAAAAAAAAAAAAAAAAAAGAAGAAGAAGAAAAAGAGAGAGAGAGAGAGAAAGTCTGGGGGACCCTGGGAAAATATGGGGGTCCAGGTTGGTGTTGTTGTTGTTTTCAATCAAAAATCAAGGCTCGTCTCCAGGGCCAGGTGGTAATAACGTCACCACCGCAACCACCTGAGCAAAGCCCTGGGCCAGTTAACTGGCCAGCACAGCAAAAGCTGCTGCAGAAGCAAGTCAAGTAGCCACCGACGAGGAGGAGCAGGAGCAGTCGAGGAGACAGCCAGCACTGCCCTCCCTCACCCTTGGTGGGAGGGGGACAAGTGTGTGCGCCACCCCTTCACCGCTGAACGCCCAGGCCTGCAGGTCCCAGACCATTTCGTATGTGTCTTCTCACAACAATCAATTTCAAATGTCTTGGTCCCCTTTCCTGTTGTTGGTATCAATCATCTGCCAGGGAAGTGACTGGTTGGCTGAGTGAAATGGTCTCTCTGTTTTCTGTTTTTGTTTTTGATGTATGTGTTCTCTTGACCTACGTGCTGGGGGCCATTACGCACCCGCTCGACGCTGGATTCCTGAGCAGGGCTGATGCAACAGCATGTGATTGGTGCGCAAATACTCTGGAGTTGGGGCTGGGGTTAGTAAGACTGGGGGTTATGGACTTGTATGGCACAGCCATGGTTTTTGTTTTCAGTTCTTACTTTCCCCCTGTGCTATGTCTGTGCCATGACTCCTCACCTCTCCTTTCCTTCCTCCAGCACTGCATGCGGTTGGCCCGGTCGCCAACAAATGAGAACCAGAAGCAGGGAGAGAGATCAATGCTGATCCCAAAGCTGAATGCAGTCATGATCTCAAGGGCACCAAGGCCAGAGTCAGGTGCTCCTCCTCACCCAATAGAAAGAACAAAGGTAAAAACAAGCAAGACCACTCAGTTAATCATAAAAACCCGGGGGGGAAAGGAGAGGCGAAGCAGCGCATCTGACTCTGGGGAAAAATAGCACCCAAAAAAGAGGGTTCTTCTGACATGTTTCAATGCGTTGTCCATAATCTAAAAAATCAAGTCCCGTGGTGTTAAATCAATGGCCCAACGGAAAGAAACAAAACGTCGCTGCGAGCGGATCGATCACAGGTTGCGCGGTCTAGATCTAGAGTCCAGGGGAGCCGTACGAGGGCGGTTTCTATGGACCATCGTGACGCCGATCCTCTGCCGGGGAACAGGCCCTCCATTCCCCCTTCCCTACTCTCTCCACTCCCCTCGTCGCTGTGTAGAGTAGAGATGAATGATGGAACAAGGCCAGGGCTTTTTGCCAGGGCGACGTGGGGAGCGGCAGAGGGCAAGGCGGGCTGGGGGTGTGGAAGAGAATTTAGGCGCTGGGGCCCTGTACTGGTCACAGGGACAGGCGATGAGTAGGGCAGGGAGGGAAGGGGGGGGGGCAAGAGAGAAGGCGCTGTGTAGGGCAGGACAGGGCAACGAGCGGGACGGTGAAATGGGACCGTTTCTTCTTGAGCGGAACGGAACATGGCCGACCAAAATGGTTCAGTTGGGCACAGCGAGAAAAAGAGGCACACCCGACAAGATCTATGCTTGATCGGGTAGTACTTCAAAACCTGAGGTAGCCCTAATTGGGATGTCGGTAACAGACGCCCTGGGTCGGGGCCTGGAACTGGAAGAGAGCTGTCAAGAATCATCATGTGACGAGATCAGGGTGCAAAATCCCTGGTCATCCACGATACTACCCAGAGAGGCTAGATCAACAACAAGCGCTACCCTAAAAGAGACCCTTCAACACTGCCCTTTGCGGCTCTAGACTAGACGGTATCTCCAGAAGAGGGAATTTGCTTTCGGCCCGTTTGGATTGGCTCCAGATTCAATCTCAAGCCACCTCAAGCTGTTCCTGTACTCTAGAACAAGCCTGCCCCTGGATCCAGAGACGAGCGAGCCCTACCGAAAGAGAGAGAGAGAGAAAGAGAGGAGCACATGGCAGCATTGGAAGTGGGCGGCCAGGCATCAAGAAGAACGAGCGAGAATAAGAACACACAGGCTGACCATGAGGGTGGGGGATGATGAGGATGTCAGGTTAGGCAACGGATGTTGACGGCGAGATTACTATTGTATACATACATTATTACAGTAGAGCGAGAGAAGGAGGGGAAAATCCATGGTGACCATCTGTCGTCAGTCGGGCCTTGACGACGAGGAACGAAAAGAAAAAGGTGAACCACATGACGGATCCGCGCGAGGAGGTGGCCATTCTGGCTCATATTTTTGATGGACTCTACTGGACAGAGAAGAAGGCAAGGTACTACAGAAACGCTGCTCGCAGGTACCATGGTGGCTACAGTGCTGTATCGTTGTATCCTGTACCGTCGAGAATGTGTGGCGATGGCTGGCACGAGGCACCGTTTGCAAAGTCCAGAACACCTCGAGAGAAGTCTCACCGCAATCCAAGACGGACAGAAGGGGGTATCCCCACGCGGTTCAGTACTTAGTGCCCATCCCCCCATCCCAGAGCCCTGTACCTCAGCCATCCTTGTACCCCTCTTGTCGCTGGGTTCCAAGGGAGGGGAGGGGGCGCCAGGGTACTGAGGTACGTACCTGAGAGCGGGTGGGTGGTGTGGGGCGAAGGGGTACGTACCAGTACGTACTGATCCTCCGGCAAAATACATGACCACCAAGTACCGATGCCCCAAACACCGGAGGGAGAGGTACATCTTGCACCCTGTGCCATAGGCAAGACGGGCCACATCAGGTTCAGCAGTTAATTACATCTACGTCCGGTCTCCCTCTTCGACCTCCCCCCCCACCGTCTTCTTCGCCAAACCAGTTCTACAACATCCTCCTGCCAAACCACATATCAACCTCTCCCACGACCACTGTCGACACAATTCCTCGCTGTTGGTCTGTCCTGACACGAATAAAGAGTCCTCTTCTTCCACAACCAGCCATTTCCACCCCAGCGACAAACCTTCCTTCCGTCGACGCACCCGTAATACTGCCAACTTGGGCCTTCTCCAACGCCATATCTGAATACACGCAACGTCACTTGCGCCGCACCACATCACCTTTGCGCCTTGGGTTTTCTAGTACACGAAACGATTGATCGAACCCATCAAGCCCCATAACCACCTCGACGACCTCAAAATCGGTCTCAGACAACGCGAAAACCTGGCATCAGGCACTACCCGACGGACGCGATCGGCTCGCAAATACCACAAAAAAACGCAAACCAACTCTCCCGTTTGCACTCACTTGCCTCAAGCATCTGGCAAGACCCTCGCAGCAAATCTTGCAGGCAATAATGCCCTCTACCCTCAACGCGCCTGTCTTACAGGTGGATGCCAACATTGTCAAGCTGGTGGACACCTCAAATCCTCAGAACCTGTTCAACCTCTGGAGTAGTAAGTCACAGCCATGGACGCGCCTGCAAACGGCGGTCCCTCTACTCCCAACACAATATACTGACAACCCCCTCGATAGTGATGTCCAGATGTGCAGACTCTCTGCCACAAGGAAGACGACTTGAGAACCTGATCTGGAGATTATTGATGGAGGAGGTGACCAGCGAGCCTACCTCAGCATCTGCGCCTACTACCACAACCACCACTACAACAACAATCGCAGCCACGACACAGCCACGAGATATCCAGCAACCCAACACACTCAAGTCTTCTGCCGAGGACGTGCCACAACTCTCAGGGAGTGTCGACTCCATTGCAGACGAAGAGGCCGTCGAGTTCTCTTCGGATTCATCACCCGTCGACATCGTACATCCTCGCATCCGTCGTCAGGATTCCTGCACCATCTACCCGAGCAGACGGGATCGCCACATCTCGTCCGATAACCTCGAGAAGATGGTCGCCTCCATTGTGGAGCAAAAGGAGTCTCTTTCTGCCCCTCTTCCCGAGATTCCCGCGTCCCTGTCGCCACCCAAGCAGGAGGAGCAGAAGGAGGAGCTGGATTCCCCACCAGCACTATCGTACTCGGGCTCAACCACCACCGAGTCGCCGAGCAAGGACTCTGACCGACCCTCAGAGCGCTCCCAGGACAACCCGTCCTCCCTCGAGCTTCCCATGATCAAGACGACCACCGTCGTGCGCGGCTTCTCGCCTGCCCAGCACCCTCACCCAGCTGCCTTCACCCCACTGCGGTCCACTACTGATATCCCCGAGCCCAAGTCCTCCCCAGCGGCCAAGAAGGTGGAGCCTAAGAAGAAAGCCACTTTTATGTTGGGTGCCTCATCCGAGGAGTCATACAACAGTGACGACGGCCAGACTGTTGAAGTCCGTCACCAGAAGACCCTTGCACCACCAGCTGTCGTGGTAAACAAGCCCAAGATGTTCCAGATTGGCGGCTCGTCCGAGGAGGACAGCTCGATCAAGAGCGCCCTGGCATCTCCCCGCAACCCCAAGCTGGCCCTGCCCAAGAAGTCGACCTCGTTTGCCAACAACTTGACCACCACGATACCGTCGGCGAGCTCTTCTGCCATCATCGAGGATGACGAGGAGATCAGCTACGACGAGAGCGCCATCGAGTCGGACGACGACGACGAGTGGGAGGATTCCAACGAGGACAGTGGCACAAACAGCGTCGATGAGAAGTCGCTGTTCCAGCGTGTCGACTCCAAGGCGAACCTGACTTCCCGCCGTTCCCTCATCACGCTGGCGCTCGAGCAGAACCAGCGCCGCGGAAACCTGGGTGGCGTCGCCTCCCGCTCTACTCCCGCTATCCCACACCGCGGCCGGGCCCCCCTCAGTGGTCCATCTCCACTAGTGTCGTCCCCCAACGACTCGGACGATGCACCACTTACCATGAAGCGACAGCCTCGTGCCACGCCAATGCGGCCTATCAACGAAGTCCCTCGATCCACAGTACAGCCCAAGCCCATCATGGCTGCTCCCCTGAATGGCGTCGGCCAGCAGCAGCCATTGGCGCTATCTCCAAGGACAACCCGGCGTAACATGCTGGCTACCGAACTGACAGAGTCTCTGCGGCGCGACCTGTTGCACGAGCGCTCTCAGCTGAAGCGCCGACACACCTCCACCAATGTCGCCAACCTGAAGCAGTACCCTCAGCAGCCCTACATGAGCCGGGTCAACGGCGACATCAACGCCAGCAGCTGGAACGAGGAGTTCTCGAGAGATGCGTTTGGCGGCTATTATAGCAAGGGCTGGTAATCATCGCAAAACACTCGCACACATACACGTCCATACGTCCACACACCTACCTACTACTACTACTACTATCTTACCTACCAACAAAAAATGATACCCAAAAAAGGATACCAAAAACTGGCTTTCCCCATCTTTTCGGCACACAAACCACCCAAACCCAAAAGAAAAGTGCCTTGTACATGTACCAATCTTATCGACACGAGCACTGCGAAGCGAATTGCAATTTTCACGACATCGAAAGCATGATGGGCGGCGTTTTGACTTTTTTTCTTTACTTTTTTTTTTTCTTAATCTCATGAAGCATCGTCAAACTTGGTTCACTGCAACCATCATTACACTTCAGCCCTTCCACACAGTGGAAGTGGTTGCAAACATGGAACACCAAAAGGGTTCCTGTTTTTCATGATACCATGGATTTTCTTAAAACCTCAATTCATCATCATTCATCAGCCCCATGCTCCAATGGACAAAGGGCTTATTACGGCATTGGTTGTTCTCGGTCGCAATTGATACCCAAGGCTAGGGTTTGGAACTGGTCTTTGGGAGAGGAGGGGGCTGAACAAGGACGGATTTTTTTCATTTTTTTTTTTTTTTCATTGGGACAAGGGGCAAGAAGGAATCGCTTCCGCAAGTGTGTACATTTATTGTTGTGTGGCTCTTCACACAAACTTTAGGGTGTCGGGCAACCGGCATACCTCCCGCCACCGGACAATGGTTGGAAAAGGGAGGGAAGGCATTCTTCACGGTGTGTGTGTGTGTGTGTGTGCTCGCTCTCTTCCTACAAAGGGGAACAGCATACACACACAACACACAGAAAAAAAGGTCTTTGTAATCTTTCAGGTTCACAGGTGTGCAACCCCGAACAAAAGAAGCAGCAGAAAAAGCGTGGTAGTAAGGATAGGCAGAAGGACACGCCATACACCCTCCATTAGGAGAGCCTTGACACCAAGACAAAAAAAAACAAAAAAAACCAAAGAAATTCTAATGAAACTGTCATGAACCAATTGTTGTTTTCCCATTCCAAATCCTCATTGTGAAAATGCAATCATCTCCTGCGCTATCAAACGTACTCTGCATGGGATTCCAGTCTTACTGTTTTTTTTCTTCTCCTGTTCTTTTTCCCTCAGCGTACGTTGCTCTGTGTACGATTCATTCACTGTGTTGGCTGGCGTTGGACGGATTGGCACTTGTCGCGACGACGAAAACGCCGAGATTCAGGCCTTACTACCCACTTATTCTTTGCGGAGCCGCAAAGCGGTTCCCCTTCCCACGTGTTTTTTTTTCCCATCTTGCGCGGCCGCGACTCCAGCGACAGAGAGCGGGGTGGAAAGAGCAGAGATTTTCGTCTTGATTACATAAAGTACTATGGGTAGGATTCTTTCGAATCGGTTTTTATTTCTTCCCTTCTCCCTCACCGGAGGTACCCGCAATAGGGCCGTTGGAAAAAGCGAGCATTGGCGATTTACAATATCAGCTGGTTGGAGTGCCGTTTGCAACACGTCAGAGTCACGCCGTATGTGTGCGCACATGTCTTTTTTGCTCCCCTTTCTTCTTTCTTTCTTTCTCTCTCTTTGAGGGGGGGGGGGGGAGCGGACTCTCTGCTCTCCCTGCCATTGAATGAATGAACGAAACTCAAAACCAGCCTCGGTATGCATATGGCCTAAATGCTTTGTTGGGATGGAGTGCAAGCAGCCCGTTGGAGAATGGCACATGCTGGTGGTTGTTGCGCCCTTTCGGTCCCGTGGTGTTGGGTTACATACTCAAGTAGTAGACAGCATAGTCAGGGGGACGAAGGAGGGGAGGCATTCGGCTGCGATTTAGGGTTTGCAGCGCGGCATTGGCGTACAACCTTCTGTACATGCTTGCTTGGTACAATGAAGCTGGCTCACGCGAGCGAGCATGTGAAAGCTGGGGCTCAACAAAAGAACGGAAGACACACGCGTGTCTGCCCTCAGGATGTACTGTACACAGGACAGTGTAGAAAGGTGGTTTTTTTTTGTTCGTAGGAAGGCTCCGTTTATACCTTCTCGATACGGTTTAGGTGGCAGCTGAACGGTGTGCGATTGCGGCCGATAATCCATCCGTATTAGGATTCCTTTCACGGTTGAATTAGATAACAAGAATGATTTTATTCTTTTTTTTTTTGTTTTTTTGGGCCTATTTTTTCTTCTTATTCCTAACCGTGCAGGCAGCGTTTCAATACGGGTGCTTCCAGACTCCATTACGTTTTTAGTTGTTTTCCTCATATATTGCAACGGTAACAAGCAAGCAGGTTTTCTGCCCCTTGCCTATGACAACAAGAACACTGGAGAAATGGGTGTATGGATGACATCGTTGTAATCGGTCCTTTGAGGAGGAGGGGGCTACGACACCAGTAGTATTTTTTGTCTTTTATGTGCTCACTCTCTCATTCTCTCTCTCACTCTCTCTCTCTCTCTCGCTCTTTTGTACGGAGGAATTCTTCTGGAAGCTATCATCCCTGATGCAGTGCAGGGCCAGACGTCTTGGCTGGCACGGCTGCGGGAGACTGCCGGACCTTAGGTCCACTACCGCTATCGTGTTGCTTTGGTATACGGTAAAGGTGCTAAACAAACAGTGTTGGTAATCGAGGTGCAGTACCCACAGGAGGCTCAGACCTGTTGGGGCCTACCTTTGACTGCAACTACGGTACCAGATCGTGGTTTATTTTGGGCGGTGTAGAAATTGCTCGTCCTCTCTGGGTCATCCCTTGCACGGCCACCACCACAAAGCTTCTGCTGCGTGTCAGCATCGGAAAAACGCTAATCATGCACCATTATCCCAGACAAACCAGAAACCTCTGGGACCTCTCCACGGCCATCGACCGAACCCCTGCTCCACTCGTGGCAGGGTCTTGCAGGATTGATCAATTAGTGAACCTATTGGGGGGAGCAATGACTGGCTGTTCAGAGGCGAGAGAGAAACGGAGAGAGCAACGAAGGCGAGGCAGGCAATGCATTGACGTGTTGCCCTAATCCGGCCATACATAGAAAGTGGGTTCTTTTCTTTCGCTCTTAACGTCTGTCTCGTGCGTGGCTGGTGCTCGCCACGTCTCCGCCGTCCACCGCACGGAAGAGGGACAGTATGAACACGTACGTGCTCTCTTTCTCTCTCGGCCTTTGCTCTCCACAGCACAGTACAGCAAAGCCCTTGAGGCCTCCGTTCCGAGGATAGGATAGTGCGGGTGCGTCTCCTGCTCCTCCTTGACCAACCTCCCCAAACATGTGGACTGGCGACCGAGACGAGGCTGCCAGAGTGTGTGGATTTCTTGTCCGGTACTTTTTGACCCACGACCACCATGGTGATCTCCTGGGCCGCTCCCCAGCCCGGACGCAGGTGGAAAAGAGTAAAGTATACTGCCGTACATGATAGTATGTCTATAGGGGTAGAAACCAGCCCCCACGACGCACGTCCGTCATTTCGGTCGTAGGAGCGGTCCGATCTTGATAGAGCACAGTTTGCGAGAACGAAGAAGGGGGGTAAGCGTCCATCGGTGACCGATCATCGAGCCAGCAAGATGGGAGTTCAGGCACATGATCACAGCCATGAACGTCACAAGATCCCAAAAGGGGCAGATATCCCCGCTGAAACTACACACAAGACTAAATGGGGATTTTTTGCATGACCAGTTCGGTGCGGCTTATCTCTGTTGATGGGGGGAGGAGCCGGCACAGATGTGCAAAGGGGGAAGGCAAGAAAGGAAAAAGAACAAGAAGAAGAAGACGAAGAAATGAGGTAGGGTGGCGTCACGCCCGGTGTGGAGGGGGAGCACGTTCTCTGCTCGTCGTGACAGCGGCCTGTCAAGTTTCATCTGTTTCTATTCGCAGAGAAGGCTGGACCTACTCATGACCGCCCCCCGGATATCCTTCCTCATTCCATCACAACAAGGGGAATTGGCGAGGGTGACAAGGTGGGGGCGTCTCAGCCGGGGCCCGCTCGGCTCCGGGGTGAAGGGGAGGAGAGGATGGGGCGGCCCCCCATTTGACACGTCTGTGGCGTGGACGATGTACTTTGACAGCAACTCTTTTTTTTGTCTGCAAAGCTTTGTCATGTCTCCTACAAGATCCCCATGTGCGGATGACGAGGTGGAGGAGATGATGGCTGGGAAAAATACGAACGACCGCCCTGCTGGCAAGTTTTGACAGGTCGCTCGTCCATACCGGGCCATGATATGATATGATATGGATACCGGTCACGCCGTGCCTGTCCGATGAGTATCTGTTTTGGCATTTTCTGAGACACTCACCGCTGCTTAGGTGTCTCTATGCCCGGCGTCTCCCTCTCCGGAAGTTATCAGCCACGTTTTTTTTGTTTTTTTTTTTGATTTTCTTTTTTTCGTCTCCGAATGCGCCCGTACCCCGTGGGTCTCGTTACTCCTCCGTGATATGATGGATGCTTCGAGCCTCGCCCCCCTCCTGGACTTGACCGTTGTGGCCGGGACAACCGTAGTGAAAGGGAGTCAGTGGTCGCCTCGTCATCTCACTTGCGGGGCTGGAGGGAGGAGGGTGGGGGGCACAGGAGATATGCCGTCGTCAAAATCCTTCCGGGACATGCCAGCCTTAGCTGACAAGACCGACGACAGGGTGTTGTTTGTGGTTGTTGCTCGCTCGCTCTGTCTTTGCATTTAGGACACCTCGGCCGAAACTACGGAGGAGGGGAGCGGAGAAAGAAGGTCTCAGCTCATCTCAGCGGTGCGGCACAGCGCAGATGGGGGGCTTGTTCGAGAGATAGGAGGATTATCGCGGGTGCATCCGCGTTTGTTATCACACACACATATGCCATCTAGCTCATCTCGGTGGTTGGGGTCGGGTTCGGGAAGGTCTGCACCATTACGACCTTTTTTATAATGATGAGATCCTGGCATGGGGGGACTTTTATTATATGTCTTACAATATCTAAAAGGGGAATTATATCATTATTACATAGCACTTATGAATGAGACCCGGAGTGGGTGTGAAGTGATCTTTCTAGGCCCGTCCGGCCGG